CTGGCAAGCGCAGGGTCCTGAGTTCAATCCCTGGTACCACAAAAAAAAAAAAAAAAAAAGTTGTACTGTTTGTTGCAGGGTCACAGTATGCAGCTCGGACTTGTGGTGACCCACTGCCTTCAGCCTCCCCAGTGCTGGGATTATAGGAGTCTGTGCCATCAGGCCCGGACTCCGGCTAACTTAGCCTGCCTTGGTGCAGCGCTGGTGCTTATTCCTATAATCTTCACACTTGGGAGGCTGAGGCAGGAAGACCACAAGTTCAAGCCCATACTAGGCTGTATAGTGAGTTCAAGGCCAGCCTAGACTATCAAGTAAGTCTTTGTCTCAAAAATTAAAATAATGGCACGTGCCTATAAGTCTATCACTCTAGGAGGCTGAGGCAGGAGATTGGCAAGTTTGAACCCAAGCTTATCTCAAAATAAAACATTTTTGTTTAGTTTTTGGGTTTTTTGTTTGTTTGTTTTAACTAGAGATTGAACTCAGGACCTTCACTTGGCAGGCAGGTGCTTGCGCAGCTGAGCTGTCTTCCCAGCCCTTAGTTTTGTCTGTTTTTTTGTTTTTTGTGGTACCAGGGATTGAACTCAGGACCCTGCGCTTGCCAGGCAAGCACTTATTCTACTGAGCTATCTCCCCAGCCCTGTCTGTTTGTTTTTGAGACAGGCCTTCACTTTGCACTTCAGGCTGGCCTTGAACTCACTTTGTAGCCCAGACTGACCTCAAATTCACAGTGACCCTCCTGCCTCAGCCTCCTGAGTGCTGGGATTATAGGCATGCACCACCACTCTGGCTACTTTGGATTTTTTGAGACAGGATCTTGTTATGTAGTCCAGGGTGGCCTTGAATTCACTGTGTAGGCCAGGTTAGCCTCAAACTCACGGCGATCCTCCTGCCTCAGCCTCCCAAGTGCTCAAAAAGTTTTTGTGTTTTCTTTGTACCAGGGATTGAGCTCAGAACCTTGAGCCTGCCATCCAGGTCCAAAATATCTTCAAAGGGCTGAAGATGCTGCTCACTGTGAAGGCCCAGGAATCCCCAGCACCATAAAAGAAAATCATGGAGGGCACACTAGGTCCCTGGGTGGAGGCAATAGACGTGAAAGCTGAGAAGAACCCAGGGGGGCTTCCTGCCCAGTGTGGGCACTGTGTGGGTAGTGACCCTCCCAGGAGGACAGAGGGCCTGGCAGTCCAGAGAAGCAAACTCACAGCTTCACATTTGCCAGGCAGGCGCTGTGCCACTGAGCTCCAAGCCCGGCCAACAGCCACTCGGGAAGCCTGTACAGGGACAGAGGTGGGAATTTGCCTCAGCACACAGCCATACCACAACCTGGAGGAGGACGGCAGGTGCCACCAGGGCCTCAGGCCCCTCACGCGGCCTGAGCGACACTGATCCATGCTGGCCAGGTCTGTGCCAACGGGGACCTGGGCTGCTTTCAAACAACATGTTCATGGGCCGGGGAGAGAGCTCAGTGGAATAAGTGCTTGCCTGGCAAGCACAAGGGCCTGAGTTCAATTCCTGGTTCCGCCAAACAACAACAAAAAATACATCTTGCTCAAACAACACGTTCCACACAGCCTTTGGCTCTTCTCATTCTTTCAGAGGTAAATCAGTACTTGAACACAAACTGTGCTTTAGCACTTCTCTTGAGCATTGCCCTAGAAATTACAGGCATCCTAGTCAGAAGGAGGAAGTGTGTTCAGGGTGGCGTGAGGGCAGACGCCATACCATTTAGAAAAAGGAATGTTTAGGACAGGGTCTGCAGGGCTTCGGGTCTCACCACACGGATCAGACTTGTAGTGATCCTCCTGTTTTCAAGCTCCCAAGTGCTGAGATTACAGGCGCATGCCACCACGCCCAGTATCATTTGCCATCTTGGTGTGCCCCGGGGGCGGGGCTGGAAAGGTGTGGGATTGAACCCCTATTCTTGGGCGATTTAGTCCACTGAGCCATCTGGCTGGCCCTAAAATTAAAATATTGTAAAATAAAATTTATAAAAGAGGTTGGGTATGTAGCTCAGTACGAAAGTCCTGGGTTCAACCCCCCGTAGCAGCTGTAACAGGATCCAGCACTGCCTCCGCATTGTTTTGAGCATGTGGTGGAGCTCAGCACAGCTCAGCAGGGCTGCATCCCCAACAGTCCACCTGCAGGTCCCCCGTAGTCGGCCGGGGCCCTGGGTCCACCCCATGCCCACTCTCTCTCCCAGGACAGCTGGGCACAGCACTGACTGCTGTGGTACCCTCGCTCTGGCTGCAGATCTGCCCCTTGGGCCTTGGTCTCTGTGTGACTGGGGCCCACAGCATGATGCTCAAGACCCAGGCCAGTGGCCACGGCAGGGCTCCCGAGGCCGCAGCTGTGTGTGGGGCAGAGGGGAGTCCACAGGGGCTGCCCTGCAGCTGCCCCAGGGTCCCAGGTCTGCCTGCCCACTGGGCAGCAAACTACCAAGCAGTGCATACAGCAGGCGCCCTTTTGGCTTTTGCTCTGAGACAGGGTCTTGCTGAGGTGCTCGTGCTTGGCTCCTGCGTCGGCCTCCAGAGCAGCTGGGATTCTAGGCCCGTGCCGCCCTCTGTGTGTGGCAGATTTTTACACAGTTAATCATACATTCCTTCGTCCCAGAAATTCCACCGTACCCAAGATAACTGGAAACATAGCCACAGAAGTATTTGCACGTGGATGTGCTGGTTTATTTATAACTACTCAAGCCCATGAGGCGTCCAAGAGTAACGCACACAGCGCTTCTACACTTAGTATTAAAAAGGAGGGATTACTGAAATGCGCTGCAACTGGAGGCATCTGAGTCACCATGCTGAGAGACCAGAGCCAGGCGCAGAAGAGCACGCAGGATTTCCTTTTTTTTTTTTTAATTTTTTTATTTGGGGGGGCAGCTCAGCCCACCAGGGGGCGGGGTTGGCTGGCATGTGGTGCTGGGGGATTGAACCGCGGTCCCTGTGCTTTGCCAAGCTTGTTCTAAGTAGGTGCTTTAGACCACTGAGCCATCTCACCAGCCCCGGATTTCCTTTTATAGGAAGCTGCAACCCAGGCAGAAGCTCAGGCCCAGAAGTAGCGCAGTGCTGGGAGGGCTGCCCAAAAGTCCCTCAGAGTGCTGTGTTGGAATGGTTGTGTCTTGAGGAGGTGGTGACACATTTGTCAAAAGTCATCCATCTTGCTGAGCATGGGGGCTCGAGCCTGAGGCATGAGGATCTCAAGTTCCACCCCAGCCTCAGCAGTTTATATATTTTCTCTTTTTCATACTGAGGATCGAACTCAGGACCTCGAAATTGCCAGGCAGACCCTTAAAATACTTTTAGTCTTTCTCCCTCCCCCTCCCCCGCTTCTGGTAGCAGGAATTGAACTCATGACCTCATGCTTGCCAGGCAGGCATCAGCCTCAACAATTTGGTAAGACCCTGATTTAGGCTTTACCAACAACAACAAAAGGCTGGGATGGGACATTGTGTGGCAGGCCTGTAACCCAAGCGTCCTGGAGGCTGAGGCAAGGGGGATATCTTTGAGCATCTGAGATCACTCTGGGCTCCTACTGGGTTCAACTCCAGACTGAACTATGTAACAAGACTGTCTCAAAAAAGAAAAAAACAAGCCACAAAAAAGGACTGGGGGGGGGGGAGATGACTCAGTGGGATAAGCGCTTCCCTGGCAAGTACAGGGCCTGAGTTCAATCTCTGGTTCCGCAAAAAAATAAAAAAATAAAAAGGACTGGGGGAGGCGAGGATATAGCGCACCAGCACAAATGCCTGCCTGGCAAGCGCAAGATCCTGAGCTCGGTTCCCAGTACCTACTTCACAAAACAAAATTCTAAAAAACAAAAGGGGGGCCAGGGAGATGGCTCAGTGGAATAAGCGCTTCCCTGGCAAGTACAAGGGCCTAAGTTCAATCCCCAGTTCCACAAAAATTAATTAATTAATTAAAAAACAAAAGGCCTGGGGGTGTAGCTTGTGGTAGACTGCTTGTCCAGCACGGGCAAGGCCTTAGATTGCAAATTCCAGTACTTAAAACCAAAGAAACAGACAGCAACAACAACCAAGATCCCCTGCAACCTCGTTCCGGGTCTATGTATTCTGATACTTTGATCTCCAGGCATAGTGATCCTCCTGCTTTCAGCCTCCCAAGCGCCGGGGATGTAGGTGTGCACCACCACGCCCAGGGCGGGGCCAGCACCAGGGATGGAACCAGGTCAGCGGCTCTGCCTCAGCAGGCGCCCTCTGCAACATCCTGACTTGGCCCAAGTGGAGCGCAGTCCCCAGGTCCCCCGCCCGGGGTGATGCGCCACCTGTCCAGAAGGTGGCGCTATAGGAGGTGACTGCCGTCTACAGCTTGGCGCCGGCGGTCCTTGCAGCAGAGGTAAACCAAATCTCACCCATGAACAAAGTGCTGCACCCACGGGCAGGTGTGAACGTCTTCTTACCGTGGGGCACACCAGGGACGAGGTCTGAGGGGCAAGCCCTGGCCTTGTGGATTGCACCCTGGGGCCCAGGAAGGAAGGACTTCCCTGGAGAGGGACAGTTTCCAGACATACTTGCACAGCCAGGTATTTGCGCTCCGTTGCAGCAACACAGCAGATTTGTGTTGTTTTGTTGTTTGACTCAAGAGCTCGGCATGCAGCTCACACTGTCCCGGAGCTCACTGTGCAGCCTGGCTGGCCTCCAATTCGGTGATCCTCCGGCCTCAGCCTCTAAAGTGCTGGGATTACCCACCTGGCTAAGGTGGGTAACTTTTAAGACTTCTTGAAGCAATGAAAGTTTTGTGTAAAATGCAGAAGTCATTTTAAAATCGCACCTGAGATGATGCTACCTAAGAAAGAAAGGAGAGTCCACGTGGGAAGAAGCTCCACCTCCGGCCACCCTGCTCACTCTGGGCAGCTGGGGAGCCCCACCCCTCTGGAGACACCCCCCCCCCCCTTGTGCCCCAGCACAGACTCAGAGGCACAGGCAAGTGTGGGAGACCAATGCTTGGCCTCATACTAGACTGCTGCTTTGATCTGTTGTCTTGTGACCTTCCCAGAGTTAAGTTTCTGTTTCCCCTCGGAGCCATTTCCCAGAAGTCACATGCCTGATCTCCATTCTAGAGACCACCCCAAGTGCCTAGCGACCTGATGACGTATAATCACTCCTCCCTCTTCTTCCCCCTTCCTATAAATTCTCTGAGACTTGAATAAACGGGGCTTGATCAGAACCTTTGTCTTGCCTCCATTTCTCGTGTCTCCTGTCCCTATTTCATCCCCACTCCCCTTCCAGGGTCCTCGTTGACTAACCCGCGGGTCGGGTCAGGCAAGGACGCCTTGGGAGCCTCCAGCTGGTCTGCCAGGGTTTCCACCTGGCTGCCCACTCAGCCCCATCCGGCAGCAGCAGCACCACCTGGATCTGTCTGGCTCTTTTTCCCCTGAAATGGGCTGGCAGCTGAACTGGAGCCAGGCATGAATCCCTGTGTTGCCCACCTTGGTTCCGCTCCAGCAACCACCGGCACCCCATGCCCAAGGGCAGAGGGGCTGCAGGTGCCTGGGCTTCCTGAAAAGCCTTGTGAGCAGGCGAGCTCGGGCCGTGTGGGTTTCTGAGAATCCAGGGTTTCAGTCACTTTCCCTGGGGGAGCTCTTGGGTCCCTTCCCAAAGCTGGGGCAAGATTCAGAGCCTAAGGGGAAGGTGAGAGAAAGCTGGAGGCAAGGCAGTGTACCCTAAAAGCCTGTACCCTAATCCCCACTAGGTGCAGAGCTCTCCACAATCCCAGCCCAAGGGTCCCCACAGGTGGACAGATCCGGTATTGGTCCAGGGTCCTCTAAACTCGGACACTGGAGTAGGGAAGTCTGACCCTCGGCTGGCCACAGGCTCTGGCCAAATGCCTGAGGTCTGGGGCTGACCTGGGCTTTCTAAGTTGACCCGGAATTCGTTAGGTAATGGATCTAGGGGGTGGCTGTCTCCAGATCCGAGATCAGGATGCAGTAAATTCTGCAGCCCACCTAAACTCTCTCAGATAAGGTCCCTGAGAGGGTGGTAGCGGCAGCTCAGAGTCCCAAGGACAGCTGGTAGAGACTCTGCTCGGAATTGCCCTTCCCCACGAGTTCCCCACTCCACCTGGGGCTTCAGGTCTGTCTAGGGCACAAGCCTGGACAGGCGTCCCGAAGCCCTGGAGCGGTGTCCTGAGTACGGGGTGAGCACCGCAAGGCGGGGCCTGAGGAGCCCCGGTGAACAGGCTCTTTCCCTCTGCGGTGCACCGGGTGGGCTTGCTGTGCTGTAGCCCCGCCGTCCAGGAGCCATCTGGGCTGAGAGGCAAGCTGGTCGCCACTGAGGTTGCTCTTCCCTTGTGCAGGGTGAGCGGTTGTCCCCAAGGGGGGCTCGGCACAACGCTCCCTCGCCTTGGGCCTAGAAGTCCCACGGCTCGGTCCCGGCAGCGAGGCTGGGCTGGGCTGAACTGGGGTCGGAGGCGAGACCCGGGCTCGCACCGGCCGGGTCACCGGGCCTGCGAGGGTTAAGGGGGCGTGGCGCGGGCGGCTCCGCCTCACCGCGGGTCCGAGCGCGCGGGGCGCGGGGCGGGTCCGGCC